CGTACCAGATGGTTGGAGGATCGGGAGGGCTGATCGCCCCGCGCGCGGATGACGCCCCGGTAAAAGTCATCGTCGACTGGGCGCCCTTCGGGGCCCTGCCAGTCCAGCTCCATCAAGAACAACCGCTCATCCTCAACCCCGAAACCAAGGGCTCCGTCGCACCCAACCGTAGACCCCACAGATGGGGCGGAGGACCAAGTCCAGGACATAGAGGCCCAGGAAGGCGACCATGAGGAAGGTGAGCGTCGCCAGGAAGCGGGTCATATTATCCTTCGCGGCCTCCCAACGGTTCCCAAAGAACAGGTACGCGAGCCAATCCAGTGCCCTGAGAAGGCAGCGACACGTCCAGAGGAGACACCCATCCCGCCGTTCGAACGGGGCAGCGCACCGTCTGTGCGACTACCAGAGTCTGGCCCACCCGGCATCGGCTGCGGGACCCGCTCTTCCCTCTTCGGGCCCCTCCTCATCTGGGTGCTCGCCGTGGCTGGGGGTTGGCCGGGCTGGCGCCCCCAGCTCGCCTGGCTCGCCACGCCTGGACCCTCCAGGTTCCGGGCCCGGCGGCAGCCCCGCGCCGCGGAGGTTGGGCGGGCCCGGCGCGGGAGGGCTGGCCAGCTAAGACACCAACCAAAGCCACCGGTCCTCCCAGGAGGGGGGGGCCTCCGAGGGCCTCCGAGGGGCGGCCCCGTGGGGTGCGACCCCTCTGGAGCCTTAACTGGTGCCAAGGCCCTCGCCGCCCCCTCCCCGCCCGGGTCTGGAGGCAGGGGCCGCGGGCGCAGGGGGCGCTGAGGGCAGGGCCGCCCTGGTCCCACGCCCTCCCCAGCGGGCTGTGGATCCTCTCGGAAGTCCGCCCGGGCGCGGGCGCGGGGCCCTCGGGGAGGGGGGTCTGGGGGGGGAGGGGGGGGGGCGCGCACCACCCAGGGGGAGCTCACCGTCGGCCATGCGGCGCCGCCCCCGGGGGGGGGGGGGGCCACCCGGCGGCGCGACTCCCTGGATCCCCTCGAGGTCGGGGCCCTGCGCCCGTGCCTTGACTCCTGGCCTGGGGCCCCAGCGGGGGCTTCCCCTCTCGGCGGCGGGGCCACGCGAGGTCCGCCTCCGCCGTCCGCCTGGCGGCCCTGGTCCGCCCCAAAACTTCACGAGCCGCCGGGGAAACCTCTTCCCGGGGGCTCGGAGGGAGCGGCACAGCGCCTCTCCCCTTATACCCCCCCTTCCCCGCGGACGCCCTGAAGGGAGGGAGCTCCACCGTCTCAGGGGGCGCAGGCGGGCCCGCCCCGGGCGCCACCGCCTGCGGGTCCCCCCCCTTGGGGCGGGGCCGGGTCAACGGCGGGCTCCCCGTCGCTCCTGCCGCTCCCGTCCTCTGCGGGGCACAGGTGCGCGGGCTGCCCACCTCCCCCTGGGCGCCCACCGGGCACTTCGGGGATGCAGTCCCTGGGGGCGGCTCCGGCCTCCGCACCTGCCACCGGGCGGGCAGGGCGGACGACGCCCTCAGGTCGGCGCAGGGGGCCAGGGAGGCCAACCCATGCGGCTACCACCGCCGCCAAGGGCACCGCCACAGCGCCGCCGAGCACGATCATCGGAGAGGGACCGAATGGGGGGGGACCACCCGCGGGGACCACCTCACCCCCACCCCTTCACAAAAATGGGGAGGGTGCAGCCAGAGCCAAAGGCTGCGGAGAGGGGAGAGAAAGGAGACACAGCAGGAGCGGAATTAACCCGTTTTAAAGGGGGTCAGACCCTCCAACAGAGTCATTGAAGACTGCTCGTTCCCATCTGCTCGCGTGCCGTTCAATACGTCGCTTGGTCCCAAACCCCCGATACCCACCCTCTTCGTCGTCGATCGTCTCCCCGTGGAGGTATATCGTTCTTACTTGCGACGTGTATTTCTTGCAGCACCTAAGGCACGGGAAGAGAGGACGGATGAAGGAAGGGACAAGGGGGAGAGAGGAGGATGGAGCACAAGAGAGCGAGTAGCAGGAGGGGGACCTAGGAGCAGAATGCACGTGGCAGAACCAAACAGGCAGATCGGACGGATAGACCCTAACAAACGGGACCAGGCGGCCAGGGCGAGCAGGCGGGTTGCTGAAGCGTGCGTCCTGCATGAATCGCGGGGAAGTCACGAGCGACAGCGCGATTCTAAAATAAATCTCGGAAGGAAATCCAAAGCGAGAGCGTGATTCCTGAGTGTCGAGGACGCGGCGTCCGATTACATTGCGAGGACGTCCCACGCGAGAGCGCCATTTGGAAATCAACTGTGAGGACGCATCAGGCGGGAGCCGTTGTTGTTGTTGTAACTCGGGGGGCAGGGGCACAGTTTGAGGCCCGTGACTTTCCCTGATTAAAAACAGGCTGCGAGCCCCGGGAGGGACAATTGAAAAAGATAATGTGCACCGGGGGGGATCAACAATTCGCCGGCCCAACGGGCCAGAGGCGTGCTAAGATCTCCGGTAACTGCTAAATAATACTTCTACTTCGCGCGCGCGGGGCGGCCCCTGGGGGTCCCCGGACGAAAAGTACCCCGGGCGATCCCCGGCAGACTCGGGTCAGAGATGGTTTTCCTCCTGGGCGCCGCCCCCGTGGCCCTCCAGAGAGCCCCAAGAAGGGCCACGAGGCCGCCAAGAGCCCTCCAAGATGGTTCAAGAGTGCTCCGAGATGCCACACGATCGTTCCAAGACGCCCAAGATGGCCCCCAGACGCCCCAAGAGGCCTCCAAGAGCACTCCCCAGAGGGCCCCAAGAGGCAAAATTCATTACTTTTCCTTAGGTTTTGGGCAGATTTTGGCGTGTCCATCTTTTCGGCTTCCCGACGCCCCAAGACGGCCCAAGAGGCCCCCAAGATCGCCCCAAGAGGGCCCAAGAAGCTCCCAAGAAGGCCCCAAGATGGCCCAAGAGGGCTCCAAGACGGCCCCAGAGGCATCCAAGACGGCCCAAGAGGGGCCCAAGAGGGCCCCAAGCGATGCCCCAAAGGGGGAACACAAAACAAAACTTCGAGCCCTCGGCCTTAAGAAGCCCCCAGGAGGCCTCAAGAGGCCCCTGAGAAGCCCCAAAAGCCCCCAAGAGGCCCTCAGGAGACCCCCAAGCGAGGCTGAAGAGGCCCCCCAGCGGCCCCAAGAGGCTCAGTCATGCGAAATGGGCCGGCGGAATGAGCGAAGCGATTCAATAAATACTCTTCAGCAATGAGAGGTCAACAACAATCATGTTCAGACTGTTTGCTCTTATCTGCTCGCGTGCCACACAACACGTCTATCCCAAACCATCTATACCCGCCCCCTTCGTCTTCGATCGTACTCCCTCAGGGGTAGATCTTTCTTACTTGCAACACGTGAATTACGTGCAGCCCCTCTAAGGCAGGGGAAGAGAGGACGGATGGAAGGAAGGGGCAAGGGGGACGGAGGAGGATGGAGCACGAGAGAGAGAGAGTAGCAGAAGGGGGGCTAGGAGCAAAAAAACACTTGGCAAAACCCGACGGGCAGATCGGGCGGGTAGACCCTAACAGGCGGGTCGGGAAGGCGGGCAAGTCCCACGCGAGAGCGCGACCCGTATACAAATTGTGAGGAAGTCTCGCGCGAGAGCGCGACTTGGGAATAAATCGTAAGGAAGTATCAGGCCGGAGCCGTTGTTGTTGTAGTTCGGGGCCCAACAACACAGCTGGGTGGTACATCACTTTCACATGTTACAACCAGGGTACGGACCCAGAAGAAGCACTTGAATTGGAAAAAAAACAATGGTTACGGGGCAGGGCGATCAATAACATTATTCTTTAGACATAAAAATTCAACAATCATTTTAACACTATTCGCTCTTCTCAGCTCGCATGCCATTCACCACGTATATCCCAAGACCTCGGTACCCGCCCTCTTCGTCTTCGATCGTACCACCTTGGGGGTATATCTTCCTGACCTGCTACGTGCAGTTAGCGCAGGCCCTAGAGCAGGGGAAGAGAGGACGGATGGAAGGGGAAGGGAGAAGAATGGATCATCAGCAACAGCCGCATCGCCGTCATCATCGGCAGCATCATTATCATCATGGTCATCATCATCAGCCTCAGTATCAAGATAGTCATCATCATCAGCAGCAGCATCATCATCGCCATCACCATCATCATCAACAGCATCATAACCGTAATCGCCATCATCGTCATTATCGTCGCCGTCGAGGTTGTCGTCACCCACATCATTATCATCTGAACCAGCAGCATCAACATACGATCCGTCATCCATCAGTATCATCACCACGACTACCAGCATCGTCCACATCATTATCGTCATCGTCGTCATCATCATCACCAACATCATCATCGTCCTTATCGTCGTCGTAATTGTCGACATAAACAATATCGTCATCATCATTATCATCATCACCATCATCAGCAGCAGCGATAGCAGCATCGTCATCATTGGAAAAGGTAGGAGTCTCCTCCTCCTCCTCCTCGTCCTTGTCCTCCTCCTCCTCCTTCTCCTCCTCCGTCTCCTTCTCCTCCTCCCCCTCCTCCCCCCAGCATCCTCATCCTCCTCCGTCTGCTCCCCTCCTCCTCATCATCATCTCTTCCTTCTGGGGCAAGATCCGAATCTGATGGCCCATGCAAAGAACAGTGATGCATGCACGCGATGCGGCACACCTCGCCCGTTTGACAGAATACGCGCACGTCCTCGTCGGCGAGCGACTTTGCAGCCTCCTCCGCCTTTGCAACCTCCGAGCACGGAGAGAGGGGATGCGACAGCGGGAGAGCTCATACACCGCCCCCCCTCCCCTCCTCGCCTCCCCCACCCTCCCGTCGTCCGTAACCGCCCACTCCTCCACCTCCTCATGCTCCTCGTCGTCGTTGCCCTCCCATCGCCCCCTTGCCTCCCTCGCCTCCCCCGTCATACCCGCCCACTCTGCCCCCACCATCCTCCACCAATGGAGGCCGACAGTGCACGCACGGCCCCTGCCCCGCTTGCACACCCGGTGCCCACTTCAGCACTTCGTGCCCGACACGATACGAAAGGTCTCCCCCCGTTCCCTCCT